ACAGGGCACACACACACACACACACACACACACACACATGAGCTGCCAGATATAGCAAATAAAAATACTGGGTAAATTCAAACTTCAGGTAAACTAAATACATTTTTATGTATTTAGTATGAGTGTATCCCAAACGTTTCATGGGCTATACATATACTTTAAAATTTGTAATTGTATTTATTGGACACTCAAATTTAACTTGTCATCCCACATTTTATCTGTCACTATGTGACTGCTTCCTGCCCCCAAAGGCTGACTCAGTGATGGAGCTCTGGACTGAGTAGCTGATGGGCAAACAGACGTTGAAGCCTCAGAGATGAGGCAGAAAAGGGGTCTCTGGGTGGCTGCTCCTTAGCTTGGGTGTCTAGATCCCTCTACTGACCCCAACTCTTGAGTGACTGTAATGAAGGGTCTAAATGGGAGGCAGGACCTAGCCTGGGAGCTGCCTTCTTCCAGCCACTGCATTGAGCACCCACTTCCTGGCGCTTCTTCACCTTGGCGGGAGGAGGCAGGTGGCGCTGTACAGCTTTGAGCAGTGGAAGCAGGTCGGCTTGGGGGACAGGCCTGTAGGAGGTCCTCTGTCTTTGCTTCCAGTCATGTTCTGTGGAATCAGTGGCTTCTCAGACTTCTACAAGCTCTGGTGGCTGGAGGCCATTCTCAACTGGCAGAAGCCAGAGGAAGGATGCTTCGGGAGGCCTGGTGAGCTGCACTTGTACCCTGGCTGGGAGCAGGCGGGTGGTTGGGGCTGGATTTCTAGGCCAAGTGAGGAGAGGTGATGCGGTGGTGTTAAGGGCTCAGAGAGAGATTTGCAACATGTATGTGCGTGCAAACACACACATGAACACTCACACATACACGGAAATGGGGTCAGACCTTTTAAAAAGCCAAAACTCTGCAGGAGGGGAGACAGTCTTATTGGAAGATGTTGGCCCCGTGACCTACATTAACAAATCCATTCCTTCAATGATTATTCCCTGAGCACCTGCTCTGTGCCAGACACTGTTCTAGGCTCCAGGGGAAACTAGGGTCCGAAGAAAAGAGGCAGAAACTACCTAAATTAACCAATAAGTGAAATAATGGTGAGTTCTGATAAGGGCTGTGAAGGAGACAACAGGCTGAGAAAGAAAAGACTATGGAAGACAGTTCTTTGGGCAGGAGTGGTCAGGGGAGATGTCTGGGAGAGGGTGACACAGAAGCAGAGATAGGGAGACAAGAGATGCAGCCTCTTTCCAGCCGTGTGACCCTGGGCAGCTGATCCTCTTGGGAGTAAGTCCCTTCACCTCTCTGAGCCTTGATTTCTTCATCTGTAAATAAATAACTATAATAATCTCCTTCCTGAGCTGTGAGGAGTAGACTTAAAACATAGGAAACCTCCTGTCCTGTGCATGGTACAGAGGAGGTTCCGAATAAATACAGAAGCCTGGGATGTTTTGCAAGGAGGCAAAGGGTTGGTTGGTTGGTTGGTTTTTAATGTTCATTTATTTATTTTTGAGAGAGAGAGAGAAAGAAAGAAAACACGCACACATGAGTGGGGGCGGGGCAGAGAGAGAGGGAGAGTGAATACCAAGCAGGATCCACACCATCAGCACAGAGCCTGATTCAGGGCTCAATCTCATGAACCCAACCATAAGGTCATGACCTGAGCCGAAATCAAGAGTCAGAAGCTCAACCGACTGAGCCACCCAGCCGCCCCAAGGCAAAGCTTCTGAAATAAAGATAGTCTGCTTTTAAAACAGCAGGTACAAGGTAGGCCTGTGGAACATGCATTTTTAACAAGATCCTCCAGCCATTCTGATGTAGGTGGTTGGGGGACCATGACTGGAGAAACATCAGTAGATGACAAATTTAGACAGTGGGTAAGGATCTGCACACGGGTGCTCAAGGAACCTCCTGGAAGAACCTCCAGATTCAGGAGAAGATCTGAGTTGTTTGAGGTGTTGCGAGGGGGAGGAGATTTGGTGAGTAATGTGTGAAAATCCATCATGAGAAGGTCACATTTCACCCTTCTCCCAGCTGCTGAAGATGAAGAATTATTGACAGCCATTCAACACCAACAGCACATTTTAAGAAGAGTGAAGAGGCGAGAAAAACAATTTACAGGTAATGAAAATACCCAGGGACCTTCTGGGCGTGAAACCAGGACACCCTGGAAAGAGTGCACACAGGTTGACCTCAGTGGAAAAGTCCCCTGGCATCCCTGAAGGGCCAGGTCTGGGGGGTAGAGGGCAGGGTAGGAAGTGGAAATCCAGAGGTCTTGTCTCCAGTGAAAGGAGCATGAAGGAATTTTCAGTGTGTTACTGAAAATCACAGAGATAACCCTTCTCAGACAAGGTCACATTGGGAAAACAGAACCTGCACCAGGAATTTGAGGCGGAGGGAATTTAATATAGGGAACTCTTCTCAGAGGTGTTGCAAGAGTTGAACACAGAAAAGTGAGAAAACCCAGAGATAAATCATTGCAGTCAGCCACTACCCTCCCTCGAGGCAGAGCTGGAGAGACTGTGGAGCAAAGTGGGGTTAGCAGAGCCTGCAGGGGCTGGACATGGAGGAGGCAGAGATGGGGAGGAAATACCCTGGCTTCTCCACTCTTTCAGCCTGTGGATGTTGTTGCTCAACCCTGACCAGATGATGAGCGAAGTATCCTGGGAAATGTAGTTTGGAAGGGTCAGTGCACTGTGGTTTGAAGCAAGAAAGGACAGGAGGGAATCCTCGAGCCAGCCGGCAAGTGACCAGTATAATCCCGGTGACCACATGTCCAGATGTCCCCAGCTTCCATCTCTTCCTGGAGCCATTATAAATAGTGCCCCCTTTCCTCCCCAAAGTGTCCTGATTGAGATAATAAATTATTTGGTCAGTCCACCAGTGTAGAGAAAATGAGAATAAGATGTAATTGTATTGGGGCGCCTGGGTGGCGCAGTCGGTTAAGCGTCCGGCTTCAGCCAGGTCACGATCTCGCGGTCCGTGAGTTCGAGCCCCGCGTCAGGCTCTGGGCCGATGGCTCGGAGCCTGGAGCCTGTTTCCGATTCTGTGTCTCCCTCTCTCTCTGCCCCTCCCCCGTTCATGCTCTGTCTCTCTCTGTCCCAAAAATAAACAAAAACGTTGAAAAAAATTTAAAAAAAAAAGATATAATTGTATTGAGAAGG